GCAGTATAGCAGATTGCTTGGTATTTAGATATTGGCCAGTTTTCTCCATAATTTCGGGTTAGATGATGAAAAACTATTTTACTGATATCAAATAATCACTGACAGAGAAGCAAAAGCTTTTCTTTTGTGCGCAAAAGTCGAAGTGATTGGGTACGAAGTCAGGCTTCGCATAAAGGAAGCGAGAAAGTGTGTCTGGCCGTTTTCTCTGACGTGTTTTGCTTGACTAAAAGGGTTAAAAAAATAAACCATGCCAGGGAACTCGATTTGTTCATATTGACAACAACCTAAAAACATCTTTTTGTTTTTTTCTCACCACGAATATGGCTATATAGTTACAGTATCTTTAAACTCAAGAAAGGTTGTTCAAATAAGGTAACTGTTTCATTAATTTTTTAATTTTTTTTTTATTATTATTTTTGTAATGAGACTGGAGGCTACATGAACCGTTAGGTTTTCAATTTAGCCTCCAGCCTTGGTATGTCTAATTGTAGAACAGGAAAAATTAAGAAAGAGTTTAAAGTTTGACTTTTCTCGATGAAATGAGAAGGATCAGATCGAAGGAAGGAGAAGATGACGAAAAGAGGAAAAAAAAAATCGCGCCCGTAAACTTGCTGGAGAAAAGTGTTTTGAACACATTTTAAATTTTGGAATTTTTAAAATTTTAAATTCAAATTTATTCTTAGCGTTGTATAAAGTAGTTTTTAAATTTTGCTTTCTTGTCCTAATTTTTTAACTTCATTAACGGAAGTAAATTCCCCATTCTAGCTGATGAGGGATTTTCGCCCAATATCGCATTCCACGCTATGACCATTAAGAATACTGGTCGTCAGTTGTCATCGGATACACGCTTTTACAGAGTGAAAATATTTAACGACGTTCNTGAGGGATTTTCGCCCAATATCGCATTCCACGCTATGACCATTAAGAATACTGGTCGTCAGTTGTCATCGGATACACGCTTTTACAGAGTGAAAATATTTAACGACGTTCGCGCTCGTTCTTACGTCGAGCTTTTTGTTTGTTTGTTTGTTTGTTTGTTTTTGTTTTGTTTTGTTTTT